GGAGGGGCCCGCTCCCTGGGAGGGCGGTGGAGGGGAAAGGTTTGGCCCCGGGCTCCGGTGGGTGCGTTCTGGCTGCCCCCGGCCGGGCGCTCGTGCCTTTGTGGCCGCCTCCCGCTGGCAGGCTTCCCACGGCTGGGATTGTAAAACCTTAGGAACAACTTCCCCGGTGAGTCACTGGCCACTGTTTATCCAGAAGCACCGGCGCCGGACCTCCCGCCCCTTTAAGGTCCGCCGGCTGGACCCCAGCGGCCTGGCTGGTCATCGCTGTGTGTGGCCGGTGCCCTGCAACCCAGACTAGACCGCCTCAGGGTTCTGGCCAAAAGAGCTGTTCGGGCCCTGGCTGGTGTGCTCAGTGGTTAGAGCGTTGGCCAGCGCGGGAGGGTCCCAGGTTCAATTCCTGGTCAAGGGCTAGAACCTGGGTTGCAGGCTCCATCCCTGGCCCTGGTCAGGGCAGTCTGGGCACCCAGGTGGGAGTTAAGCAATCAATGCGTCTTTCTCACATCGATCGATATCTCTCTCTCTCTCTCTCTCCCTCTCCTCCCTCCTCCATCCCTTCCACTCTCACTAAAAATCAGTGGAAAAATACTCTCGGGTGAGGATGAACAACAACAAAATGCCTGTTTTGTTGGGAGGCATTCCTCATCTGGATGGAGAGTTCGGGTCTTGTCCGAGGGGTTGACGGGTCTTAAAAGTGGGCCTGTGGCCGCCCGGACTCCTGCACGGTCAGCCGGGCTCGCTCTGGGCGGACGGGTGATGTTTTCCACGGGCTGCGTGGTGCACCCATCTCGCGGTGATCGTCCTGAGGTGTGCGAGGAACTCGGGACGTTCCTTTGTGATTCATCACACGGAATCTTACACGGGAGATCGAGATCTGAGATGTTTGCCTCTTAAGTAGGGCGCCCGGGGTTTCGTCTCCAACATGTTGTTATCAGAACGCCTTGGGTGCGTTCCAGTCCCGAGCCACGCACACAGAGCCCCCGGGTGCGGGGTGTGGGGACGCAGGGGGCTCTCTTGCGTTTGAGGGCAGACCAGTTGAGGGAGGTATCTGAGGCTCCCACAGCCACCCGGGATGCTTGTCTTTGTTCCACTCGAGCTGCTTGCATTGTAGCTGCTAGTTGATCATAAACCACCTGGAATGTCAGGCCCTGGGGCCCTGGCGACAGTGGTGGCTCCACGCTGGCCCGCTGGCCCCCTGCTCCTCACTGGTACCGCCAAGGGTCACAATTGAGGGGACCTAACACCTGTTTGGAGAAGGGCCCCCCCCCATGACCCCCTCCACACACTTCACCCCTTTGTAGAAACTCACGTACCTGTTAGACATAAAGGCTGAGGATTCGTGTTTTTCCTTAGCAAGCACCTTGGTAGAGCGCTTATTCTGTCAGCCGTTGTTCTGAGCACTTCACAAATATCCGCTCTCTAAAGGAAACAAAACAAAAGCAAAATCAACTTCTTCATCCTCTTGGCCATTCCTTTTCTCCCCATTTTCACTTCAAATGGGAGGGAGGTGCTAAAGGAGTTGTCCAGAGGGTCCCTGCGGGTCCCTGGGGGTGGAGATACGCCCAGGCCGAGGGGCCGAGGCGCCCACCTGTCCGGCCGAGGCCTCCTGGCTGCAGGCACGTTCATGCGGAGTTTACGCACACGGTGTCCAGGCTGACGGCGGCCTGGGCGGTGGTCATCCCATCACACACGGGAACCAGCGGCTGGGCCTCAGGACTCAGGCACAGGTCCTCAGGGAGCCGTACCATTTAGCATCCAACTCCTGACACGGGGGAGTGACATGGGGCCCGTGAGCCAGGGGGCCCCTCGGCCTCTCCAGAGCTGTCCGCCTGGCGGCAGGCTCACCCGGAAACCCAGACAGGGCTTTAAGGAGCAGCCCTGACCGCACCCTCCTCCCCAGGTGGCTTCTCGGGACCCATCCGAGGTGACCTTTCCGTTTTTGTATATATAGATGTTTTTATTGCTTTCAGAGCGGAAGGGAGAGGGAGGGAGAGAGAAACATCCATGATGAGAGAATCATGGATCAGCTGCCTCCCGGTGGCTTCTCAGGACCCATCCGAATGACCTTTCCGTTTTTGTATATATAGATGTTGTTATTGATTTCAGAGCGGAAGGGAGAGAGAGGGAGAGAGAAACATCCATGATGAGAGAATCATGGATCAGCTGCCTTCCACACGCCCCTTAGTGGGAATCGAACCCACCACCTGGGCATGTGCCCTGACCGGGAATTGAACCCGTGACTTCCTGGTTCATGGGTTGATGCTCAACCACGGAGCCACGCCGGCCAGGCCACTTAGTCATTTTTGTTCTAAGGGCTCCATTACTGAAGTGAGCCCAGAAATGGGTGCTCTGCCATTTAGTGTAAAATCCCCCAGTGCAGGGCTGGGGTTCACCGGTCGTTCCCGGAGGTGGCCCCCACCAGGTTATTTCAGTCAAGGCCCAGGCTCGGAATCTTCTTGATTCTCCCTGGAACTAGGACCCTGTACGCGAGGCTGCCATGTGTCTCCAAGTTGTTCTGGCAGAAGAACAGCCCGTCTTGGGCTAGAACAAGGGGGTCTGCTCTTAGGCGGTTGGACAGTGGGCATTGTCTTCTAGCACTGGGGTCGGGAAGGAGATCAGTGCGTGTTTTTATAAAGTCCTGTGTGTGCTCACGCCCAGGAGTTTTGGATCGGAACCCAGTTATGTTTCAGAGATTCTGTGGGATTTTTGTCTCGTGCCAAATGTTTTTCATGCCCTGGGACCCAGTGAATGTGGCAGCCCCGGGTGCCAATTTTCTGAAATAATCCTCTTCAGGCCTCCCACGCGGTAGAGTTTTTAGAATCTGAGCAACATGCAATTTGAATGAAAAAGAAGCGTGGGGGGAGGTTTTCTCTGGAAGCTCCCGGGAGGCTGGGTGCCTGCAGGGGAGGTGACAGTGATGCATGAACAGGTGGGAGGGACTCTGCTGTGCCCAGGGGAACCCTGGCTCCTGGGGGCCGGGAGGGCCAGGCTCCTGCCCAGACTTGGACCCCTAACAGGCTCTGCTTCCTTTGGGCTTCAGTGACCCTAGACGTTCCTGGATGAGGCCACAGTTTCTCTCGCCAGGGGCGGCTGGTCATTTTCCCGGTTATCTTTTCTCACTCAAATGTCACCCTCTCAGTGAGCCTGTCTTGGCCACCGTATATAAGATGCCACCCCTTTCCCTTCCCAGCCCCCTCCCTCTGCCAGTTCCCTCCCGGCTCTGTATCTGTTACTTCCCAATAGGATGGCATTTATTCTCCACCATCTATGCATTAGAGGGTCAAAGGTTTTGCTCTCTTTTTTAAAAATATATTTTTATTGATGTCAGAGAGGTGCTCTGTATCTGTTACCTCCCAATAGGATGGCATTTATTCTCCACCATCTAAGCATTAGAGGGTCAAAGGTTTTGCTCTCTCTTTTTTAAAATATATTTTTATTGATTTCAGAGAGGAAGGGAGAAGGAGAGAGAGAGAGAAACATAATGATGAGACAGAATCATTGATTGGCTGCCTCCTGCACGCCCCACACTGGAGATCAAGCCCACAACGGCAACCTGGATGTGCCCTGACCGGGAATCAAACCCGTGACCTCCAGGTTCATAGGTCGATGCTCAACCACTGAGCCACGCCAACTGGGCTAATGATGTTTAATTACATTTCACATTACTTGTTTCATCTCATTTTCTTACGCCTGTCAACATCTGTCTGAATACTGTTTTATTTGTTATAATGTAAAATTTTATTGCGCTCACTTTAAAGGTGAGAAGTCCGGCCCATTTAGTGAGTAAGAAGGCGCAGCATGAGGTTGAATTGCACAGCTTTAAAGGTGATGCTCTTCCTGCTGCCCATGGCTGACTTGGTCAGTGATGAGCTCCCTGTTCGCAGACCCTGGTGTTAATCCTGGTTCTGTCAAAACTTAGCAGCACGACCAAGGACATTTTAATAAAGTGCAGTAGGTGAGGACACGTCTGTTACGCACAGAATCCAGCATCACTTCCCGCTCTCACATTGAATGTTCAGTACACCTTTACACTTACAAGTGTGTGTCTGAACCCCCTTTTTTTTTTTAATTTGGTGCCCTTGGTGGGTTTGTGCCATCTGCAGATTTGATTATCACGCCATTGATCCAACTGATTCGTAAAAAGGTTGAGCAGAGCTCCGTCGAAGCTGGAGGCTGATGCTGGGATTGAGACAGATGAGCGAGATTGTGACGTGGAGACACCGATGGCCTTCATTTTATTAACAAGTCAGGATTCCGCTTCAGATGGGATGTGTGTTGACGTGTTTGGTTGTTTGCCCTTGGTGGGGAGAGATGCATCCACAAAGGGGAGTCCAGAGGGCCAGGAGCAGACGTCTAAATGTGGGGGTTGTTTGTACTCACGCGGCCCAGGGCCCAGCGGGAGCACAGGCAAGGCCATTGTGTTGGGTGATTAGAAGTGTGACCTTCACCGGTTGGGGTTAAGGAGTCCAGGGCTCCGGCAAGACAGGAAGGCAGTGGATATAGGCAGAGAGATCATTGCAGGGCGCACAGCTGCGGACTTCCACCCTCCTGACGAGAGAATGGCAGCCTCGGGCCAGAGCAGAGAGAGAGTCCTATACCTCAGGTTTGGGACGGACCCATTGTGGGCTTGAGGCACGGGGACCCTGGACGGTAGTTAAGTTTCGTGCCTGGAGGGTGTCTTGGTTGGTTGGGAGGGCTGTAACCTAATTCCCCCTCCTGGCTTGGGGACTTGGGACTGGGGCTGGGGACTGCACTAGGAACTGTCCCCTAAACCCCTCCTTTTGGGGAAAAAAATTCCTGAATCCCAAAGACACAAATAGCTGGTATACCAGATGTACCTCGTTTCTCACAGCCTCCGGCGTGCAACACAGACGTCGGGAGGGAGTTCACGAGACACCATCAGCTCGCGTGTCTCGTTAACTCCCGGAGTGCTTCCAAGCTTAATTTATTTTAGGGAGAGTGACAGTTATAATTATGTTGTCAAGCCTTTGTCATTCTCACGGAGCGACAACGTGGAAACCCAGACGGAAAGCCCCGCCCTGGCTTTGCCACGGGGCCGGGCTGGACCCGAGCCTGCCTTTCCCAGAGCAGGTGAGCTCCGACTGCGTCTCCGGAGCCTGTCTTGTCGCCATGGCGCCCCGTCGCTGCCTGGGTTAGCACCAGCTCAGGCCGAGGCCTCTGGGGAGAACCGGCTCCCGGCCGCCGCCTCTCCTGTAAGTGAAGGCCTTATTCAGGGACAGTAGGCCCGGCTCTGCCTTAGGAGGGAGGTGGGTGCTCGACCTGGGTCTCCCCGAGTTTTTGGAGGTGATGGAATGTGGTGGGAAAACAGGCAGCTTTGGAGCAGACAGACCTGTGTTTCTGGCGGACTCCAGCGTTTTCTTGTTTGTCAGGCACGTGGCTTCCCCGAGTTCACTTACAACACCGGGGAGATCCGTGCTCTTAGAGATCCTGCCTGAGCCCTGGCCAGTTTCGCTCAGTGGTTAGAGCAGTGGTTCTCAACCTGTGGGTCGCGACCCCTTTGGGGGTCGAACGACCCTTTCACAGGGGTCGCCTAAGACCATCGGAAAACACATATATAATTACATATTGATTTTGTGATTAATCACTATGCTTTAATTATGTTCCATTTGTAACAATGAAATTGGGGGTCACCACAACATGAGGAACTGTATTAAAGGGTCGTGGCATTAGGAAGGTTGAGAACCACTGGGTTAGAGCATCAGCCCGAAGACCAAGGGGTCATGGGTTCTATTCCCAGTCAAGGGCATGGACCTCGGTTGCAGGTTCGATCCCTGGCCCCGGTCAGGCCACATGGGAGGCAACCAATCGATGTGTCTCTCTCACATCGATGTTTCTCTCTCTCACCCTCCCGCCTCCCTCCCTTTCACTCTCTCTAAAAATCAATGGAAAAAAAATCCTTGACTGAGGATTAAAAACAACAAAAAAAGATCCTGTGTGAGTGTGGAGGTTTGTCCAATAGTAAATAAATGTCTGTCAACAGTGGCTCCTAGCCCTACTATGTGCCATTTGCATCTGATAGGGACAGATATGGAAGATGGGAATGGGAACATATTGGCCCTCATTCTAGCCTCTGAAGGCGAGTCCATCCTCCCGGGAGGCAGGCGTTTTGTGCAGAGCTTCTCAAATCAGCCAACTGTATCCCTTCTCTCGCTGCTGCTTCTGAATCCAGAAGGCGCTTGTGTTTGTCCGAGTCATTTGTCCTTCAGTGGACGCCTCCCCCTGGGTGCCTGCCAAAGCCCGCAGAGGCACAGCCCTGACTGTGACGGGTCCCACGCCTCCCCCTCCTCCCCTGTCCCTGGTCCCCACACTGTCCCTCCCTCTCCCCATCTTTGTTCAACTCAACATCCATTTCGTATTTGTTCAGCTCTCATTTCCCCTTCCGTGGGGTTCCGTTTGCCCCCCTACGGTGTAAAAGGGGAACCGGCCTCCCTTCCTCTGCCCAGGGGCCCCTCCCCCCTCAGCGTTTCTTTGGAGAAAGGAGTCGACCTTCTGTCCTCTTTCTGGTGCATTTAGCCGTGGGCTTGGACGGAACATGGACCTGTGGGACGTGCGGGGAGGAGCGCTCGGAGTCGGATTGGACACAGCGCGCGCTGTGTGCTGTGACCCCCACGCAGGG